TAAATGTAAATGAACTAAATTCTGAAATCAAAGGACATAGAATGGTAGAATGAATAATCATAAAAAATAATGAACAAAGAAACAAGACCCATCTCTATGTTACCTACAGGAGATTCACTTCACAGGTGAGAATGCACAGACTAAAAAGGAAGAGATGGAAAAGGTATTCCATGCAAATGGAAACCAGAAGAAACCTAGGGTAGCAGTATCTCTATCAGGCGAAACAGGCTTTAAAACAAAGGCTGTAATAAGAGACAAAGAAGGGCATGTCATAATGATGAAGGGGTCAATCCAACAAGAGGATATGACATTTGTAAATATTTATGCACTCAACATAAGAGCTCCTAAATATATAAAACAAATATCAATAGACCTAAAGGGAGAAATATACAATGACAAAGTAATAGTAGGGGCTGTAATATACTCCACTTACATCAATGGATAAATCATTCAGACAAAATCAATAAGGAAACATTGGCCTTAAAAAACATGTTAGACCAGATAGACTTAACAGATACATCCAGAACATTTCATCCAAAAGCAACAGAATATACATTCTTCTCAAGTGCCCATGGAACATTCTCCAGGATATATCATATGTTAGACCACAAAAATGTATATATTAAACAACATGCTACTGGGCAACCAATGTGTCAAAGAAGGAATCAAAGGAGAAATCAAAAATACCTTAAGACAAATTAAAATGGAAATACAATATACCAAAATTTATGGGATGCAGAAAAGCAGTTTTAAAAGGGATACTCATAGAAATAAGTGATTACTTCAAGAAACAAGAAAAAATAAAAACTCTATACCTCAAAGAACTAGAAAAAGAAGAACCAAAAAAGGCCAAAATTGGGAAAATAAAGGAAATTAAAAAGATCAGTGAGAAATAAATGAAGTTGAGAGTAATAGGACAATAGAACAGATCAATAAATTCAAGAGCTGTCCCTTGGAAAGATAAACAAAATGGACAAAACTTTAGCTAGACTCACCAAGAAAAAAGAAAGGATTCAAATAAATTCAGAAACGAAGAGAAGTTACAACTGATATCACATAAATACAAGGGATCATAAGAGACTACTATGAATAATTATACAGATTTGACAATCTACAAGAAAAAGAGAAATTACTAGAAACATATGACCTACCAAGACTGTATCATAAAGAAAGAGAAAACCTGAACAGATCAATTAATAGTAAGGAAAGTAAATCAATAATCAGAACCCTACCAACAAACAAAAGTCTAGAACCAGGTAGTTTCACTGGGAAAGTCCACCAAATATTCAAAGAACTGATACCAATCCTTCTCAAACTCTTCCAAAGAATAGAAGAAAAAATGCTTTCAAATCATTTTATGAGGCCAGCATTACCCCAATATCAGATCCAGATATCAGATCCAAGGATACCACAAGAAGAGAAAATTACAGACCAATTTCTCTGAAGAACCAGAGATACAAAACTTCTCAACAAAGTTTTAGCAAACCAAATTCAGCAATACAATAAAAGGAACATACACCACAATTGAGTGGGATTTATTCAGAGGATGCATGGATGATTCAATATCCACAAATCAATCAATGTGATATACCACATTAATAAATAAACAATAAAACTCATACAACCATCTCAATAGATGCAGAAAAAGCTTTTGATAAAACTTAATATCCATTTATGATAACTCTCAAATAAGTGTGTAGAGAGGGAATGTAATTTGACATAATAAGGGCCATATATGACAAGTTAATAGCTAAAATTATACTCACTGGTGAAAAGCTTAAAGGTTTTCTTCTAAGATCGGGAACAAGAAAGGGACGTGCACTCTCCCCACTTTTATTCAACATAGTACTGGAAGTCCTAGCTAGAGCAATTAGGCAAGATAAAGAAATAAAAGGCACTCAAATTGGTGAGGAAGAAATAAAATTGTCACTATTTGCAGATGACATGATACTATATTGAAAACCTTAAAGACTCCACCAAAACAAAAACAAAAACAAAAACAAAAAACTTTTAGAATAAAACAATAGAGTTGCAGGATACAAAATCAACATATGAAAATCTATTACATTTCCATACACTAATAAAGAACTATCAGAAAGAAAAATTAAGAAAACAATCCCACTTATAACTGCATCAAAAAGAATAAAATACCTAGGAATAAACTTAACCAAGGAGGTAAAAGACCCATACAGAGAAAACTACAAGACATTAATAAAAGAAATTGAATACACACACAAAAAAGAAAAGATATTCTGTGCTCATGGATTGGAAAAATCAATATTGTTAAAATGTCTATATTACCCAAAACAAGCTAGAAACCCAGTGCAATTCCTATCAAAATTCTAGTGGCGTTCTTCATAGAAATAGAACATGCAATCCTAAAATTTATATGGAACCACAAAAGACCCTGAGTAGCAAAAGCAATCTTGAGAAAGGAGAACAAAGCTGAAGGCATCATGCCCCCTGATTTCAAAGCTATAGTAATCAAAATCGTATAGTATGGGCACAAAAATACACACATAAATCAATGGAACAAAACAGACAGCCCAGAAACAAATGCATGCCCATATGGTCAATTAATCTACAACAGAGGAGGTGAGACTATACACTAGGGAAAAGACAGTCTCTTCAATAAATGGTACGGGGAAAACTGAACAGCTACATGCAAAAGAATGGAACTGGATCACTGCTTCACACCATACACAAAAATAAACTCAAAATGGATTAAAGACCTAATGTAAGACACCAAACCATAAAAATCCTAAAAGAAAACATAGCCAATAAACTCTTATACAACAGTCTAAGCAATATATTTTTGGATCGGTCTCTTCAGGCAAGGGCAATAAAAGCAAAAATAAACAGTTGGGACTATATCAAACAAGGAAGCTTCTGCACAGTGAAGAAAACCATCAAAATATAAAAAGGCAGACTACAGAATGGGAGAAGTTACTTGCAAAGGATACTTCCAATCAGGAGTATCAATATCTAAAATATAAAAGAATTTATACAACTTAATCCCAAAAAACCTGATTAAAAATGGGGCATGGTGGGACCTGAAAAGACATTTTTACATAAAAAATATACTGATGATCAACCAACACATGAAAAGATGCTCAACATCATTAATCACTAGGGAAATGCCAATCAAAAGCACAATGAGATATCAACTTGTAAATGTCAGAATGGCTATTATCAAAAAGACAAGAAATAACACATGTTGGCAAGGATGTAGAGAAAAGGGAACCCTTGTGCACTGTTGGTAGGAAGGTAAATTGGTACAGCCATGTGGAAAAACAGTATATAATTTCCTCAAAAACTTAAAAATAGAAATGCCATGACTCAGCAATTAGACTTTTGGGTATTTATCTAAAGAAAATAAAAACACTAACTCCAAAAGACTTATGTGCCTCCTCCCTCTGCCACCACCATGATCACTGAAACCGTATTTATAATAGCCAAAATATGGAAACAACTTCAGTGCCCATTAATGTGTAATTGGATAAAGAAGATACATATATAATATATATTATTATTCACCCATAAATATAATATATATATATTATTCACCCATAAAAATAATGAAATCTTACCATTTGTGACAACATGATAGGAACTTGAGGGCATTATGCTAAGTGAAATAAGTTAGAGAAAGACAAATACCATATGATTTCACTTATATGTGGAATCTGAAAAACACGCAAGTAAAAAACCAAGCCCATAGATACAGTGAATAGACTTGTGGTTGCCAAAAGTGGAGGGGCATGGGGAAATGGGTGGAGGGGGTCAAAATTCTAGTTATAGAATAAGTAAGTCATGGGGTTGTACAGCATAGTGACTATAGCTAATAATATTGTACTGCATATTTGAAAGATACTAAGAGAGAAAATCTTAAAAATTCCTATTAGAAGAAAAAAGCACTTCTAACTATGTAAGGCGACAGATGTTAACTAGAATTATGGTGGTCATTACACGATGCATAAAATGTCAAATCTGATATTACAGACACGATACTAATAAAATGTTATATGTCAATATGCCCCAATTTAAAAATAATAAATAAATAAATAAATGAGAATGACCAGAGATCACAAACTGAGGTTTTTCAAAGTCACTTTCAATATCTATAATTTTACTATGAAAAATAAAATGAATTCACTGTATAAACATTTATACTATTCAGATGTTTGTTTCCTGTTGCAGAAGAAACCATCAACAGAAAATACTTTCTATTTTTATCATCACTAACAGAACGGAAGGAGATTTAAAAATTAAGAGTTAATGGGACAGTATTTAGAAACATACATGCGCACACACTTTTATTTTTCCTGATTTAACAAAGAAAATGCTCTAGGGGAACTGTAGACCTGATTAAAAAGTCTGGTAATCTTTCCCTCTTTGATTTTCTGGGGCACTTAGTGCCTACATGTATCATTTGGTGTGAGTGAATTGTCTTGTATCTTCTCACGCATGTATTTCTTGCCTACACAAGATGAAAATGAACTCTTGGAAGGAAGTTCCCTGTGATCCCGAGCCCTACGTCTTATACATAACCCGAGTGCCTTAATCACTGGCTGACATGAACATTTGCAGGGAGGAGCCTGGTGAGATACACTTAAAACCTTTATTCATTGATTTACAAAATGTACAATATTTACAAAGTTTAGGCATTCATCCCATATTGACACAAATGCAATGGGGAGTCTGAAAATAAATAAGTGGCACATAGGTTAATGTACATATCACGGCTGTTTGCACTTCAAGCCGTCACCAACCGTGGGATTTAATGGAAAGTTTAATGTAGTAGAAAAGTTACACGGATGACCAGTCCTGGGCCTTCCACATGAATGGCCCTTGCTTGACTCCTTGAGGCTGGGGATGGTGAGCAAACCACTTTCTTTCAAGAGAATGAAACACCAGCCATTGTGATAGGCACACGAGGTGCGCGTGGCCACATCTGTGTAGAGTTTGTAGTGATTCCCTCAGGTGGCACCCGAGGGTGGCAGATGAGTTCGCATCACTGGGGACCTGGTCCTTCACACCAGACAGGAAGGCTCTGGCATGGTCGCTTTCTCATTAAGAACCAACATTTGGCCTTTGTCTCTTACCCACATTGCATGCAGTACTTGGCAGTTATCAGTGGAGAGTGGCCATGTGCAAAAATGGTACTTGTAGATATGTATAATGTCAAGTTTCACTGTCTTAGAGCATTTACAGCAGTTAACCTGCCACCTCTTTTAGCAAGAGGAATGAACTAGGAAGCTGTACCCTCCACCCCTGGAAGAAAAAACACCATCTAGAGGACACACACAAATGGTGTCCTTTAGAAGCAGGACTGGGCAAACTCCACATGAGCAGATGGACATTCCTGTGGTCAGGTCTGGAAGTTTTCCTAGGGGTGGTAATTCCATCTTCCCCTCCCTCTTCAACCCCACCTCAACCTGTAAGACCTAAATTGGAAGGAAAATGCTTCCTTTTTTTAAGCTTCTTAGAGCCTTAGTACCTTCATCTGTAGCGCGAAAATACTAGTAATATTCCCTAGAGGGTGCTTGCAGGTTTTATATGAATATATATATATATATATATATATATATATATATGCACTATATATGTATAGTGCTTAGCATAGTGCCTGCCACATAAAAGGTGCTTAGTAAGTGTCTTATTTTCTCTCCCTCTACTTCCCTCACCCCAATTACAAGCAATGTATTGATAAGCCTACCAAACTCTGATTTAAGGCCATTTGATGCAATTTAGATTATTTTATATCAGAGTTACCATTGTCAGTTTATATCTGGTAATCCCTGAGGGGGTCTCATATTATAAGCCACACACATTTTCCTGTGTAGGGCAGATGGACCCCGACAATGATGGCTCCACCAAATTTCATGCAGATATACTCCATAACCCTGCAGAGAAACTCATACCAGTGATGATCACCACCTGAATACTTCTGGGACAATACCATGGAAGAAACCATGAGCAAAAACCCTTAAGGCCAATGCATTCCTCTCACTCAAACATAAGTTAATTGTTTTTCAACACTGGTGCAAGTATTATAGATAACTTTGAAAAAACATATATCATAGGCTCTACCACTGTTGAAAATAAGTATTCTCATTTGGTCATTTCATTCATAATAAAGAATATTTTACAATATATTTAAGTTTCTAGTTATGCCATACAAAAATAAATATTGTATAAATGATTTACAAGGAAGAAGAACAAGTTGTAACTCAGGCAAAAAGTATAGGAAGGATGGCAAAAGTTTACCATCTACTTCAAAAGCAATCACCCAAATGAAAGAAAAATTCCCACTGGATCTTCTTACTAGTCTCACCATCACCCGACTTGCCACCTATTTCTTGTCTTAGGATATTGTCTTCTTTCCCTATCAATCTTGAGATAATGTGATGCAGAACCTTCTCCCTAAAGTCACTGGGGATTTGAAAGAGGAAGAACCCGGGAGTGCTCTCTGGCAATATGAAGTGCAGATGGGAGATCTGGCTAAGCCACTGACTGGGCCCTCATAGCGAACTTGGGTCAACCTCCACATATCTCTATCCTTTCATTCTGAAATCCTGTGTCTATTCTAGCTATGCCTGAATAGAACCCCATGAGTGGAGAAAACCCCTTCCTGCTTTAGGACTCTTAGGATACCCTTTGGCCCAGGTAGAATTCAGGATCTCATGGAGCACAATGAGGTTCCAAATCAAGGCCAATCTCACCAATTATAATGAAAGGATACACAGCTACTTTGTGGATGCTAGTTCCATTAAGTTGGGAAAGATCCTTCTCCAGCTACCCCTCCCCCTATGCAACAAACTTATGATTGGTTTTTATTTCTTGCACAGAGCAGAGGGACTTTGATTCCCACCATTGGGAGAAGAATGTTGGGAAAATTAAGTTGGACAACTGCTTACTACTTTTCCAGAGATTCTGACTGAGTCAGAATCTCCAAGGAAATAGTCCATTCATTTCAGAATCAAAGTTTTACAATTCTAAAGCTATAAATAAATTCATGATTATATTTAAACCAGTGGTCCTTTACCTTTCTCCTGAAGAACACATATCTATGCATGTCTGTATAACATACTGTCTAATATCTCAGAGGATCCCAGGACCCCCTATGGATCATGCATGTATTCCACATTAAGAGCCTCAGATCTCAATAAATGCAGACTTATTTCCTGGAGTGAAAAGAAAGGTTTGTGGTATACAACTCAGGGTTTGTTTGGGGGCAGGCTGGCTTTGATGAGGTCTTGGGCTTGGAATGACTGCACTGAAGCAATGCTTGTTCCTCATGGTAGGTGGAAATGTTTGGCTGTGAAGACACATGTGAGTGTCATGTTTTCACATGTCTAACTATTGTCAAGCCAATGACTCATGCAATGACCATGGACCATGGACCATGGAAATCTCCATGGACTGCTACTATACATGGCACCTTGGAGCTGCTATAATGTGAGTCCCAACCACATCCACAAACAGGACACCATCACTGACATGAAGTGTGGGTGCCCATTTGTCTGATTTATGGGTGACGTTGTGGCAAATGTGGCATCAGTTTCATTTCGGGGGAGTGGCAAGTTACAGATATTTCCTTCACAACAGGAAGTGCAGACCTGAAAGAAAGGAAGAGAAACAGAAGGCTGATGAGAAGCTGGCAGATCTTGGAAGGAGGTAAGGATTTTTAGAAGGAATGGTCTCCCTCACAGTCAGACTGAAATGAGAACTACATGTTCCACAAAAGAGGCACCAACCCTGCATTTAAGGAAGTGGGATGAAATTTCATCTGGAAGCAATTTGATCAACGTGGAAACCCTCTGGACTAAGCTTCAAGGAACAAGAGTTCTGTTTTTGACATCCCACCAGGTGGTTATTACATGGTTCTACAACCTTCCTAAGTCTCAGCTTTTCCATCTGTGAAATAGGAATTATAATACTCTACTATCTCAAAGAAACCCCTTCTGACTACTTGAAGACACCATTCAGAGGGTAAATAAACTTTCACTTGCCAAATTTCCACAGTGTAAGTGAAGTGAAAACAATCCAATTTAAAATTAACTATTTACTTTCATTAGAATTGTCTATATAACTACTCTCATTCTTGTGCGTGAGTTAAAATTTGGAGGGTTTTCATTAATGGAATTATTCCTGCTTTATACTACCTTATTCGTAGACTGTAGGAAAGAAAGAAACCTAAAGGATTGTTGGCTGAAATTATTTGGGGCCATGACTACACGAAGTACAGACCAGTAGCTTCAGCATCACCTGGGAGTCTCTTAGAAATGCAGAATCTCAAACCTCACTCCAAATTTAGTGAATCAGAATCTGCATTTTAACAAGATCCCCAACTGATCCGTATGCACAGTAGTACTCAAAAAATTCTCTGATGGTCAATATCCTATTTAGTCATTATCCTGCAAGGATCTGAGGCTGGTCACAGTTGACATGGGCTAGGAGGACATCTTGAGGAGAGAAACTGATAATCTTGAGGAGAGAAACTGAAGGTCAGAAGTGAGCCTGAATGCTGTCAGACAGAATTACCAGCTCTGTGACCTGAGCATATGATGTCACTTCTCTGATCTTTAAATTTTTCCATGATAAACTAGCCACAATAAAGCCTGAGAGCCTAGCTTGCTGGTGGTGGGGTGGAGAGTGAGATAAAACCCTTGGTTTACCTTTTACATTTCAAACCAGGATCAAGTCAGCAGATTATATTTTAAATCTGAATTCCTAGTGTATTTCACAAGTTGCTTGAAAATCAGGTGTCTTCTACTAAATGCTACTAAACATGGCGTTCCAGAGTTTTGAGAGCAGAAGTTGCCTCTGAGCACCAGGAAGGCAGCCAGAAGGGGAGAAGTGAGCCAACTCCAAATAAAGGCGAAGGCCTGATATACAAGATTATATGTGGAGCCAGATCTGGACAGCCAGCAGGAAGAGTCAGGGGCATTCCCCATTCCAACCACCGTCAGGCTGCCTTCCTCTGGTCCTTCATATTCTCTTTCAAGGCTGCACTTGAAGTTCATTTAACACTCAGTGCTTCTGTATAGGCACCAGATGGGAGTAAACCCACAAGGAGATGGTTCTCTGATCACCTACTCAAATGATTCAGGACCCAAGGGATGCCTTCCCCCAGTCAGCATTCCAATGAAGACAGGAGCCTCACTTCACAGATAGTTGTCAAAGCTAAACTGCTGTGGCCATCCTCAGCAGAATGAATTGTTGCTACGTCTGCATTACCATTGAGGAAATAACACTTCCCTAATTCCTCATCCTTCTGGTGGCTTGATTACTTTCTTCTGCGTAAAGAAAGGGCTTACGGTAATTTTCAATACCCTCTTGGTGTTGTGTTTGGATAATTTATATGGGCTTTCCTCTGCTCCGATATAAATTTATCCTCTTAGAGCAAACAGGAAAGGAGAATTGTCCCATCATTGGTATAAAGACTGTCAAAAGCCAGGCTATATCAGGGAGTGAGAATTTGCTCATGAGCACTGGCACACATCTGCAGCAGAGGAAGGCTGACTGTGCTGTACCCATCACTTGCTTTGTTGCCCAGACCTTGTGGCCTTCATGTTCAGAATCTCTGCAGCCAGTGGACAAGCACTCTTCCAGTGGGACGCAGCGTTTGGTGACAGAGATACTGTTTCCTGTGACTTCCATTGTATGCTGAGTGTAGCAGTATCTGGTCTCTGTCAACAGAAAAAATATGTTTCAATTGAGATGGGAAATGTTAGCCCAACCTGCCTGGAATGGAAACAACAGGAGTATCAACACTACAAGTCTTGAAGAGATTTAACAGCACATGAGACGGACACTGTGTTGAGTTTCTGTCCAATCCCAAAGACGTCCTTGGAGAGATGCACTTCTGCACGGTAGGAGGAGAGCCTTCTGAAGAACACTGGTCTCTCTGCCTGTCATCATCCCCATAAGTCAAGATATAATGGTGTCATTCTTTGTCTTTCAAAAAAATTTTCCCACTGTATTGATTTTTATTTTGGGGGATGAGAGGCTTGGAGGGATGATTAGGATGCGAGAGTCCGCAATTTTCAGGAAGATTAAAGGGGTGAAAAAGTTCAATGAATACAGGTTAAAGAATAAAGAAGTTAGGCAGGTAACAATGGTCTTCAAGGAATTAAAAGGCTATAGCAGAAGCTGGGTGTGTGTGTTGTGTGTATGTGTGTGTGTGTTTTGGAAATAGCTATTTCCATGTAAGGGCTGAACAATTAAAAGTAGATTCATTGTATCTTGAGAAAATGACTTTATCCAAAAGAAAGAACTTCTTGACAATAAGTATAGCTGGATCCTAGAATTTAACCCCACAATGAAGGTGTGGAAATGAAGGAGAATCATTTCTCCCTAGTATGATTTCTAGGATGGCAGATGTAGACGGATCATGATGTAAGTTTCTAGACATCCCTTAAAGTCTTAGGAATCCAAAAACTTAAGGTTTTTCCCAAACTACCATGGAGAATTTTTCTACTTCTAATTTAAAGACCAAAGAAAAATGGCTTTGTCAAAGTAATTCTTTAAGGCCTCTAGGCAGTGTTCAGCTTTCTAAGCCTGGGATTTAGGAAAATGTTCCTGCTCCACTTTCAGATTGAAAAAGAAAATGAATAATTCTTAAGAAATGTCACCGAGCTGTTTTTCATCCATATCTTGGACTCAATTTTGCATGCTTTATACATTTTGGATATTTAGTGGCTAATGTGGAATTATGACCTTCTATGATATTATTTATTAGGCAATAAAAATTCCCCCCACCAGATTCTGTCACAATTTTGGCAGCTTTGAACCAAAGTACTAAAGTCCAAAGAAAGAAGCTTAAGAATTTCAGGCCTTGAGAATGAGCTAATACAGACCACATTGATACATCTTGAGATAAGTTAGGAAAATTCAGGGTTCTTAACAATCTTCCCAAACACTCCCACCTGACAGGAACCTGAGTGACCTCTGACTGAGTCTTGCCAAGGACAGTGATGGGTACACTATTGGGGAGTGTGCCTGGGCTGAGTTTAGTCAATGCCCTCCCCCAAATGCTATCCCCACAGTGCACCCTGACCAGAATTTTGTCAGTGGGAATCAGGTCAAGGAGCCCTAGCTAGCTCAGGGTCCTGGGGAGCTCTTTGCGAGTGCAGTATGTAAGGCAACCCTATGAGCTCACAGGAAAGGTTGGAAGTTTTGCACCAGGCAATGATTCTCCCAAAGTCCTAAAATATTTTAAAATTGGAGTGACTGTTTTTTTGATGCCAAGGAGGTGGCAGATCTCTGATTTTTTAAGCCTGTGACAGGTTTTAGCAAATGGAGACCAGTAGCCTGAGAGATTTACCACATTTCCCAAAGAGGACTAGTTGACCTCTTTGGTACCAGACTTGGACATTTACCGTCATGACAAGTACACCTTTCCCACCGGGAGCACCTTCAGATGTTCATGAAACCATTAAAGACAGGAATGCCCCTATTTCCTGTCTCCTCTTCACGCAGATAACCAGGAGGAGCTGCCAGAGGTTTTATTGCTCCAAAGGTAAATCTGAGCAGATAAGATCAAACATTTATGGAGTAAGTAAACCACTACATGTTTTCAGTTTTGGAAACTGGGTTTGTCCCCCAAGCATTAAATTCTCCTGTCTTCAGTAAGCCCTGAATAAGAATTGGTGAACTTGATATAACTACTTTTTGTTCTTACTTTTGTGTCCATAATAAACTCTCTTTTAATTTATTAATTGGAAATTTATTCCACTGCAGAGATAGCTTTTTTTTTTTTTCAGGGAAATATGCAAAGCCCGGTACCTAATAAGCTAATTCTTGCCATCCTGGGGAGAGAAAAATGATCAGCGATGAGGCTAGATAAAAAATTTTCTTACACTTGCCATATCTAACCCATGAAACAAAGATATTTTAAGAACACCCCATTACTTCTAGCAGCAGCTACCTTAGATCTGAAGCATTAATCCATTCTACTTCTTATCTTACAAAAACCCCTAGGTGAGTTATGAAATGTTAACGTTAAAAAAAAAATCTTCTACAGTGAAATAAGTTTTGGAAATATTCAAATAAAATTGAACAGATTTCTTTAGAACACAACTTAGGAGAGCCTTGAATGTGTATGGTGATCTCCAAGGCGAGGGGGGGGGGCACACAGGCAGCATTTCCCAAGCAGGACAAGGTGGACCACATGTGGCTTATCACGGGGCTGTAGGATTGATAAAAAAGGAGTTTCAGCCACAAAGCATTGCTCTCCACGCATTCTGAATAATCCTTGGGTTAGTAATGAGGTTACAGGAGAATCAAGCCTGCTGATAACTTCACACTAAAAGGATTTCAAAGGCTTTTATCTAAAAGATAAAAGATGGATTTGAATTTCTACCAGGTTAGTTTCAGCCTCTAAAATCTCATATTCTGCAACTGCAAGGTATTCCCAGAGGCTGTGAAACAAAAGTCTTTCACTTTAAGACTCACAGGCATGCAACTGAAAGCAGAACTGGGTATAAGAGGGCTTAATCAACTAGTAGAAAACACAAAATATATAATTTTTTATGAAATACACACACATACACACACACACACACACAGAAGTTCCATAACCTAGTTCTGAAATTTAAAAAAATGTTCAAAGCTAAAATGTAAATTACCAATTCCATTTTACCCACCAATATTCAGTTTCTAATAACAGAAGCTGTATTTAAACAAAATATACAGCAAATGATTTGAATTAAAAATAACCAACTCTTTGGTAAAAGACTTCCTCACTACTCAGTTATTCCCTATGGGTCCACTAGTTTTTTTGTTTTGTTTTGTTTTTTTACAAACATATATAATGATTAAAGTGATGCCAGAGAACCACTCACCATGTGTGAGAAAATTAACGGGAGGAATATAGTTTTAATCATAGTATTACAAATTATATTGAAAAAATAAAAGTCTAGTGGCAGCTGCCAGGCACTCCCAGCCTGATTGCTGACTGTGCCCTCAGCCCTTCACATCTGGCTCTGCTCCTCCCAGGCCCTCCTCTGCAATGACTGTTTGCCTAAGTGTCCCATTGTTTGCCCTTTTCCCATGTGTGACCCCAAAGGATCTACTTTGTATAATGTAGATCTGGCATCTACTGTGTATAATGTCCTCTGCATGATTTCCCTGGGCTTCAGAGTTTTGTCTTCTAGATTTTCACCTGCATCTCTGGTCTCTTTTTTCCCTATACTTTCCTTAACCTGAACGTTGATATTCTTCCATGTTCTGTTCTTGAACCTCTTCTCACTTAAGTGACTTCATTCAACCTCTGATGACATTATCTTCAGTCTGATACTCTCTCGCAAACTAGAGAACTAATCTCCAGCGATCTCCTGCACATGGCCAGCAGAACCTCACACCTCATGTATCTCAAACAAATCAAATTCCCCGTTTGTCTTCTTGTGTTTCTATCTTAGGAAGGGACATCCTGAGATGTGGCACCTCCACCCTGGACTTGGAAATTCAGAATCAGCTCAGAATTCTCTTCCCAAACTCTTCTTCAAGTTCCCTGAAATATCTCAATTATCCTTTTAATCTTTCTGTTCCATTTTCCATTTTCCCAGTGCGGGACCTCATCATTTCCTATCTTCTTTGTCTATGACTTCTCTCCTTTCTAACGCAGATGCTGGACAACCACCAGATATATTACTGGAACCAAGGTCGGATAATGCCTCTCACTGCCTATGAGAGCCTAAGTCAACCCTACCTGTCGAGGAGCCTCTGCTGCCTACTGCCAGGTTTATTTAGCCTACTGGAGTGGCCAGTAGGTGGTCCACTGTTTTCTCCCTGCTCCTAAAGCTGTGTCAAGAGTGTAAGAGTAACTTTGCTTCACTGCTAAAGGAACCGATTACATTTATAACTCACATCTTGAAACTCAGCACTTCTTATTATTCAATATTCCACTTGATCTAGGCCCAGACTACCTCATGATTGCTTGCTGGATATTTGAGACACGACATTACAGGACACCTGGGTGGCTCAGTTGGTTGAGACATGACGTTACAGCTTTTGATCATTTTTCACAACAAAAAATTTCCCCCTATCTTCTGCTCCTGGAAACCTGTTCTTCAGGATTCAATCTAAATGTGATGAATTCTGTGGAACCTTCCTTGATTTTCCTCCCAACCAGGTTCACAGACCTTCTTAGCTTCCTCATTTGGTATGTCTGGCTTTCCTTCTAATCAGTTTCTCAACATGAGCACAATTGAAGTTTGTTTGTTTGTTTGTTTGTTTGTTTTTACTGACTGATTTTTTTAAATTGATGTTTTATTATTTTGAGATAATTATAGATTCACATGAGCTTGTAAGAAATAATACAGAGGGACCCCTTCACATACTTTTCCCCAAATGGCAACATGATGCAAAATTATGGTACAGTGTCACAATCAGGATGTTGACATTGATACAGTCAAGATACAGAACATTTCTATCTCACAAGGATCACTCATGTCAACTTTTCATTCTCACATCCTCATCCCACCTTCCTCCAACCGCTCCTTAATCCTTGGCAACTACTAATCTGCACTCCATTTCTATAACTTTGTTCTTTTAAGCATGTTGTATAAATGAACTCATACAGTATGTAAACTTTTAGGATTAGGCATATTCACTCAGCCTTATTCACTTGAAAGTTATCCAGATTGTTGTATCAACAGTTTGCTAATTTTTGTATTCCATGAGTAGT